AGCTGCCTGCTTCTGTTGATCTAAGGCATATAAGGTGAAGTAACAGAGGGTCCATCCTTCCTCCTCCCTCTTTCGACAGCCCCGTTTGATAGATGGCGTTTCTCTCGCTTATTCTCATTACCACCCTTCATCTTTTGAGAAAACATCTCTTATTAGAGTCCGACGGAAGCGCATTATAATTAACAAAGAGTTACACAAGAATTAATATGCGCAAAAATATAAAATTAAAAAATGTTGCTTAAGAAAATTTTAAAAAACTAAACTCACGAGCCATCTTCTAAAATTCTCACGTCTCTTGCGACCTCATCACAAAGTCATCACATAAATCGGCCCTTCCAGTTCAATTCTCATATTCCTTATGCTTCCATATCCTCTTTGATTTTTTTCTTCAGCTTACATTTTCGTCATCCTCTTCTCCTTTTGCGTTTTTTTCATCTAGCCACTACGCTCTTCTCAATTCTCGTTAATTCTGTAGTGAGCCTCTTTCAAACTCGCTACGTCTGTCTTCCGCAATTAGAAAATTAATTCAGCTTTCCTTGCATTCTATTTTGACAAAAAAAGCTAGTATTAGTACGTATACCTATAGTTGCCCAAACATAGATACTAACAAAACGGACATTAAATAATGAACTATGTTAGAGCAACAGCATTATGTACAAATACTCATTGCGATGCCGTATGAATAAGAGGAGTATTCTCTTTAGGCCATTTCCGCTTAACCAACTTGCGGACTCTATATAATTTGTTGCATAGTAAGTCCTCCGCTCACTTTCGCAGTACTCTTCACACAAAAGCAGGGCGCGGTAAACCTATTTCAATATCTGAGGTGTACTCTAAATCCCCTAAACTTTTTTCATAAAAAACCAACTACAAAAAAGCAAAACTAACATTACATTTGTATGACCCCGCGCATAACAATAATCAATATCAATACGGGAGATATACAAAATAATGTTCATGCTAACTCAACAGTAAACAGAGGCAAAAACCACCCATGTACCCGGGCATTTGAAGCCGGCTGACCTAATTCCCGCATTACTAAGAGACTTCTTTGATTTTACTCATCTCCATTTGCAGCAAAGAGGTGCAACAGCTGCAATGGCAGCCAATTATATTTATGCAAACGTTGATAAACTGCTCCGCATATTCTAAACCCCACAAGGCGACATGTCTTAACATGTTCCGCGGCATAATTATGAAGCCGATAATGAAAGCCACAATAAGCTTTCACACATATTACAGGTCTTCAATTATCATATCTACAATCATCTCGGCCATTCTATCGCGCGCTTCCCCCGAAAATCACCGCCTTCTTTTCCTTCATGCCGCTTTCTTATAATTCTTTACCAAAATCAGGTGTTGAGATTGTATTAGCGGCCGCTGCCCCACTCATTTTATCCGCGATTCCCTCCTTTTGGCAACCGCGTAAATTCGGCGTGAATATCATCTATACCGAACAACGACAGATTTTTAATTCCAATCATGACATGAGCATTTATCAGGCATTAAAATTTTGATCAAGCAATCAATTGCCCTATTTGCTCATTGCTCATAGATGTGCCGGATATATGAGAAAGCTGTGAAAAGCGTGTCGTCTGTAGTGCTTTTATGCTGTCTTTTCATCTAAATCTTTATTCGCTATCACATTAAATCTCGCAAAATAACACAAATTGGCCCCGGAATTCTAAGTGCTGTTTATCTTAGCCCTACAATGAAAATTAATAATTCAGAAAGATGTTAAAAATTAAATATATTTGGGCCAAATTAAGACGGCCCATATTAACAAGTTTATTAACACAAACAATTATACCATTCATGGCTTTACAACAAAACCAATTATATTCAGAAAGAGTTACAAACATTGAATATATCATGGCAAAATCTATCTTACGCAAGTTGGAGATTTATTGCATTTATGCAAGAAGGTAGGCTTTGATTTTGAAGAATTCGAAGACGTCGACTCTTTCAATTTTTCGAAGCGCCGGAGGGCCAGACGTCGAGGGCATTGGTCGAGGCTCCGGAGCGGCCGATAAACCTGAGGCGTTGAAGCCATCAAATATGAACATCGGAAGGCCGTGCTGTGATGAGGGCGTGAGTTCGATGGCCGGGAGGAGAGTAACGGCGCTGACCCGGCCGGCGCGAGCTCAGCCGCGGCCGCATCTCGCGGATACTTGGAGAGAAGAGGCGAGGGCTATGTCTAGGCAAGCGGGACAATTGTAAGCGCGACGACTGAACGGCGGACGTCGAGGGCTTGGCCGAGCTTGGGCGCGGCGCTTTCGCGGGCGGCGATCTGAGGCAGGGAGGGCTTTCAGTGATGGCGCGATCTGACGCCGGCTAAAGAAAGAGAGAAGGCTAGCGATTTTGGTGGGAAGCGGATATATCACGCGAAGGGCTCAGATACTCTTTATTGCCGGTTTATAATAAATCGCGCCGCGACTGCGCATCCTCAGATGACAGCCTAAGCGGAGCACCTCAGATTTCACTTTTCCTATATATATATATATTATATATATATGAATATATAATATATATATATATATATATAATATATATAATATAAATATATATATGTTGCTGTGTGCGGAGCTCATTTTATCTTTGAGCATTTAGTTATTTGCCTTTTTTTGGTTGCTGAAACAGACATAAGGTCAATTGAAATGTTAGTTTACAAATCCTGGGAATTTATTTGATCAATTGAAATATTGGAAGAAAGTGATCCGTGATCCTCAATCATAAAGTTTCATCATATCTAAGTTTTCTTAAATTAACTTCAACCCTCTTAGTAAGATGTGTGTTCCAATATACTAATAAATATATTGTTCACCAGTGTTTGTTGTCCTGAATATTGAACTTAAAACAAAAATCGTTAACCATTGTTTGTTGTCTTGAATATTGAATTTAAAAAAACATCCATAAACCCTAATTTCCTCAAAGAAAAAGAAAGAAAAGACATATTTCATCCCAAAACTTAACTCAAATTCTCCGAGCAAAAAATTAGACTGCCAAAGGATAAAGAGGGGAATAAACATCAAAGCCCCGAGCACAGAATATTATAGTTTCACAAGAAATATTGTCATTTTCATTGACTTTGTCAGAAGAATAAAAAATCATTTTCATCCTTTTTAACTCAAGTATCGAATTTAATCTAAAATAGCCCATAAATCCTGAAAAAATACCCTACTTTCCTCACATAAGAAAACGATCCTAACAAAACCATAATTTTTTCGGACGACAAAACAAATCTCAAAACTAACTCAAAATTCAAAATAATCAAGAAATGAGAGTAGCTTGAAAGAAAATTGCAAGGGTTTCCCTCAGGATCAAGAGGGGAATCATGATCGAAGTCCCTAGCACAAAAGATCAGTTGCACATGCAAGAAATATGTATTCTTCATGTACACACCACAATAAATTATAACTATTACTATGAATTTTTGTCCTAAAATTTTAAGGAAGTCACTGGATAAGATATAGCTGTGAAAGATGTAGGACTGTTTTTAAGGAGTGATAGTGTAATACTAACTAGATTACAAATTTATATTATTTTTGTACTACAACATACAAAAATCGGAGATATATATATTCAGCAGGGTTTCTAACAGCAATTCACAAGAGAGGATCCCATAACGTACTTTGTGTTTTGTAAATTCCTATTATATTCTCTTGACCTTCCAAAATTTCAAATCCCCCAATTATGGATTGAATTTATTCATACAATTAAGTTCACTGAAAACTTCCCAAACTATATATAAATAGAATCAGTATATACTGAACAAAGAATTTTATACACTTTTGATGAGTGAAAACCTCCTGCAAATTCCTCCTGCTCTTTCCCATTTCTTGGACAATGCCCATAACATAATTAGAACAAAAAGTTTTAATTGCATTTTTTTCCCCACCTTACAAACCCCTGAGAATACAAGTTCACTGAATTTGTGTTACATTCACTCAATCTCCATCCTGTCCATATTTAGTAGTTTCCTCTCTCATTCATCGCGGTCATTCTCTCTCTCTCTCTTCCCTTCCTTTGCTTCTTCGGAGACTTCCAATGTACAACGGAGAGTCCCTCGAGAGCCAAACCTTGGATAGATCGAGCTCAATATCTATGGCTATGAAAAAGCAATATTCACGTGCGGAGCTCACTGAGATCGCCCGCCTCGATCCAAAGAGAGCAAAGAAGTATGTGTTCTTATGATCATTTGTTTATACCCATTTACTGTGAATTGCATTTACTGATATTTTTTTCATTTTTCAAAAAAAAATTTCGTGTCATGATAGAATTATGACAAATAGGCAATCAGCTATGAGGTGCAAGCAGAGGAAGGAACTGTACCTATCAGAGCTGGAAGAGAGAGCTGAGGTTTTGAAGATGGAAACTAGTAGGCTATCTTCTAGGCTAGCTATTTCAAGAGTAGGTCTTTTTTAACATTGAGTGTTTTCGATAATATTGGTCCCTTAAATCTTCAATAATCTTGATATCAGTTGGTCAAATCATTGAAATTGGTATGTAATCCCTCAAACCTTATTAGTTATCTCGTATTAGTCCCTTTGTCAGTTATTCTGCCTAAGCTAACTCAGGTTAGCCTTGTTGTTAGCCACATAAAGCGAGTTACTATGTTTCTACCCTCAATTAGACATCTGCATGAAAATTCTAAAAGAGTTTAGAAAACAACGGATCTAGAAACTCAGATATGGGGTTTAAATGTGTTTAAAGAAACAGGCTTGGTTTATAGCAACTTAAACAGAGGGCATAACTGAAAATTCATGAAGAAAAAGTTATGTTAAAAGGAATATTCCTCCCCGATGAAACACCACGTTTGACAAAGGGTTAAGGAATAGGGGTTAAAGGAATAGGGGTGGAGGAGGATGCTACTCTATATTGGGTGGAGATTACTCTACATACTCCAGATCATACTGCATCGTTTGGAATTCAACTGAGGTGACACAGTTTGGGGATCATTTGGATTTAGATGTAGATGATGAGTTGGTTTTGGATTCGAGTGTAGCTGGTGGACATAGTTCGCATTTGGTTATGGCCATTGGTTCATTTCGGGTGGAGGTGTTTGGATTGTTTCACTTTGGGATCATTAGGAGAGCTATCAATCGTAGATTTGGTGATAATGTTGGAGAAGGATTGCAAACTCTTCTATTGGATTGAGGGTCTTTGGAGGCCATTGGGTGAACTACGTGAAGGCTTGATTCTTTGGGTAAGAAGATACGTAGGCAGTCATTTATGATGCAGCCGGTTTGGTGAGTTGATACCGGCATTTAGAGAGTGTTCACATTCTCGTTTGGGTCTCGACTTGTTATGGATTGAGTCCATTGTCGTGGATTTGTTCCATTTCATACTGGACGCAACAAGTGAGACGTTTGGTTGGTATTGGTGTCGGCTCAGTTTTGGAAACACTTCGCCGTGATGGAGAATTGTTGAATAGCAAGTTTCTAATATATTTCCTAATCTGTTTTGGTAACAGGTTATTAGGATTCTAATCTGTTTTGGTAACAGGTTATTAGGATTCCTAATCTATTTTGATTTTGGTTTTAGAATTCCTAGTATGTTTTTGGTTTTAGGATTTTTATATATATAGGAACACGTAGGTTTGGGGAGCAGCGAATGGGATATTTGGAGCACAGAAAAGAGGTATTTTTGAGCTATTGGTTAGGGTTTGGAGAGAATTAGAACTTTGTTGATGAGATTAATTGGTGAATTTATGTGATTTTGTAATCTCAGTTTGTACTCTTTTTTTTTCTATTAGTGAAAACCATATCCCCTTCTTGCCCAGTGGACGTAGGTAACTTGCTGAACCACGTTAAAATTGGTTGTTTGAGTTTGTATCGTTATTTTGTATTGTTTGGCATTCTCTTGGTGTTTGTTTGATTGGTCTCTCGAAGCACATCGGTTAGGTTTTGGCTTCCGCTGTGCACAACAAGTGGTATCAGAGCCCAACAGGTGGTATCAGAGCTTGGGCTACACTTGGGCTAATTGGAGGAGTAGATCACTTTGGAAGTTCGTTTAGGGCTTTAGTTTGTGCTAAAGGTGGGATTTTTCCTATTTGTGGATCACGTTTCCGTCGTGCGGGGTGAGATCTTTCGGAGGCTCTTGTTATGGTTTCAATTAGAGGTAAAAATCTCTCCTTTATCAGTTTGGATCTATTCTTCGTTAGTTCTGTATTGGTTTGTTGGTGCTTTGAGATAGATGGCTGAGAAAGAATGAGTTGAGGTTAGGATTTTGGATTATTGAGAAGTGCATTGACCTGCTTATTGAAGTCCTTTGAGCACATTGGTATGAGCAAGGAGACCGAGATGGAATTTGGCACTTCTATTCGACGAATGAGGGGTCTTCTAGGTGGTGTTCATTCAGGCATTTGGAGGCCTTCTAAGGAGGCATCATTGGAAGGTAATCGATATTTGGTTTTCTATGTTGGGGATAGTACTAGGCATTTATAGGTTGCAACCAAGTCCTGTTGGTTTGGAGTCCTAGTAGTTAACAACAGTTAGAGGAAGTGTATTGGCAGAAAGGGAATTCGTTGTTCAGATTTTAGTAGGGGCTCTTTCTTACATTTATGCCGAGCTCATGGCAGTTTGAGATACTTCATTGGAGAGGAAATATTAGGGTAACTAGATGAGATGATATTTTTGTATTGGTTGTTCCTTTCTGGAAGAGGATCGGCGTTTGATGTCGAACATTAATTTTGGTGTTCGGGCTTCGACATGTTTGAGTCATCTTAGTCATAAGTTACCGACTGTTGCATGTGGAGATTTTGGATCTGGTAGAACTGCTTCAGATTTTGGGTTGCGTCGGATGTTTGGTTGCCCAACATTTGGTCACATTAAGGATGTGAGATTTGATCCAATTGCACATTTAGGATTGAGAGGCTCGTTTGGTTATTAGTTGGGAGACCCTGATCTTGTTCTGAGCAGGTATGTCACTTTTGACTCTTGGTAGATGAAGAGTGTTGATCAGATCGTTAGAATATCACAGCGGGTGGAGGGTGATGCTACTCCACATTAGGTGAAAATTACTCTACATACTCTAGATCATACTGCATCATTTGGGATTCCAGCTGATGTGACACAGTTTGGGGATTATTTGGATTTGGATGCAGATGATGAGTTAGTTTTGGATTCGAGTGTAGCTGGTGGACATAGTTTGCATTTGGTTATGGCCATTGGTTTACCTCAGGTGGAGGTGTTTGGATTGTTTCACTTTGGGGCCATTAGGAGAGCTATTAGTTGCAGATTTGGTGATGATGTTGGAGAAGTGTTGCGAACTCTTCTATTGGATTGAGGGTCTTTGGAGGTCATTGTGTGAACTACGTGAATGCTTGATTTCTTGGGTAAGAGGATACAAAGACAGTCATTTATAATGCAGCCAGTTTGGTGAGTTGATACCGACATTTGGAGAGTGTTCACGTTCTCGTTTGGGTCTCGACTTATTGTGGATTGAGTCCGTTGTCGTGGATTTGTTTCACTTTGTACTAGACGCAACAAGTGGGACGTTTGGTTGGTATTGGTGTCGACTCAGTTTTAGAAACACTTCGTCGAGATGGAGAATTATTGAATAACAAGTTTCTAATATGTTTCCTAATCTGTGTTGGTAACAGGTTATTGGGATTCCTAATCTATTTTGGTTACAGATTATTAGATTCCTAATCTGTTTTGATTTTGGTTTTAGAATTCCTAGTATGTTTTTGGCTTTAGGATTTCTATATATATAGAAACACGTTTTAGGTTTGGGGAGCAGCGAAGGGGATATTTCGAGCATAGAAAAGAGGTATTTTCTGAGCTATTAGTTAGGGTTTGGAGAGAATTAGAGCTTTGTTGGTGAGATTAATTGGTGAGTTTGTGTGATTTTGTAATCTCAATTTATACTCTTCTTCTCTATTAGTGAAAACATTATCCCCTTCTTGCCTCGTGGACGTAGGCAACTTGCCGAACCACGTTAAAATTGGTTATTTGTGTGACGCCCCTGGGTTCACACAAGGCTACAATCCAAGGTGAAACCAAGAATATCAAACATGTCATGCACCACACTGTGCAATAACATGTTTCACCATCACAATTACTATCTCTCTAGTAGAGTCAATAACAGGTGTAGGTACAAAAGCAAGTAAAAGATAATACAAGAGATGACTAATGAAATGATAGAGATCAAATTAATATTTTATCATCAAACATACAGAAATACAAGATAAGTATCTAAAATAAATAAACTGGAGTCTCAACAAGTCTTAAATACAAAATGTCTGAATAAGAGGAAAAAAAAGGCACACGGCCTTTACAACTTCTAGAATATAACTCTCAAATGTCTGAACAAAAGTCTACAGTGGAGCTCAAAAGAAAAATATAACTATAGTTTCGTTGTTCAGATTTTAGTAGGGGCTCTTTCTTACATTTATGCCGAGCTCATGGCAGTTTGAGATACTTCATTGGAGAGGAAATATTAGGGTAACTAGATGAGATGATATTTTTGTATTGGTTGTTCCTTTCTGGAAGAGGATCGGCGTTTGATGTCGAACATTAATTTTGGTGTTCGGGCTTCGACATGTTTGAGTCATCTTAGTCATAAGTTACCGACTGTTGCATGTGGAGATTTTGGATCTGGTAGAACTGCTTCAGATTTTGGGTTGCGTCGGATGTTTGGTTGCCCAACATTTGGTCACATTAAGGATGTGAGATTTGATCCAATTGCACATTTAGGATTGAGAGGCTCGTTTGGTTATTAGTTGGGAGACCCTGATCTTGTTCTGAGCAGGTATGTCACTTTTGACTCTTGGTAGATGAAGAGTGTTGATCAGATCGTTAGAATATCACAGCGGGTGGAGGGTGATGCTACTCCACATTAGGTGAAAATTACTCTACATACTCTAGATCATACTGCATCATTTGGGATTCCAGCTGATGTGACACAGTTTGGGGATTATTTGGATTTGGATGCAGATGATGAGTTAGTTTTGGATTCGAGTGTAGCTGGTGGACATAGTTTGCATTTGGTTATGGCCATTGGTTTACCTCAGGTGGAGGTGTTTGGATTGTTTCACTTTGGGGCCATTAGGAGAGCTATTAGTTGCAGATTTGGTGATGATGTTGGAGAAGTGTTGCGAACTCTTCTATTGGATTGAGGGTCTTTGGAGGTCATTGTGTGAACTACGTGAATGCTTGATTTCTTGGGTAAGAGGATACAAAGACAGTCATTTATAATGCAGCCAGTTTGGTGAGTTGATACCGACATTTGGAGAGTGTTCACGTTCTCGTTTGGGTCTCGACTTATTGTGGATTGAGTCCGTTGTCGTGGATTTGTTTCACTTTGTACTAGACGCAACAAGTGGGACGTTTGGTTGGTATTGGTGTCGACTCAGTTTTAGAAACACTTCGTCGAGATGGAGAATTATTGAATAACAAGTTTCTAATATGTTTCCTAATCTGTGTTGGTAACAGGTTATTGGGATTCCTAATCTATTTTGGTTACAGATTATTAGATTCCTAATCTGTTTTGATTTTGGTTTTAGAATTCCTAGTATGTTTTTGGCTTTAGGATTTCTATATATATAGAAACACGTTTTAGGTTTGGGGAGCAGCGAAGGGGATATTTCGAGCATAGAAAAGAGGTATTTTCTGAGCTATTAGTTAGGGTTTGGAGAGAATTAGAGCTTTGTTGGTGAGATTAATTGGCGTTAGAACCCAACGGTCAGATCGGCGGTCGATCGCGGCGGTCGACCGCGAGCATCAAAAAGGCAAAACTGAGCTCTGGAAAATAGACGGTCGACCTTGGCGGTCGACCGCGAAATTCTCTGGACTGCATTGTGACGCCCCTGGGTTCACACAAGGCTACAATCCAAGGTGAAACCAAGAATATCAAACATGTCATGCACCACACTGTGCAATAACATGTTTCACCATCACAATTACTATCTCTCTAGTAGAGTCAATAACAGGTGTAGGTACAAAAGCAAGTAAAAGATAATACAAGAGATGACTAATGAAATGATAGAGATCAAATTAATATTTTATCATCAAACATACAGAAATACAAGATAAGTATCTAAAATAAATAAACTGGAGTCTCAACAAGTCTTAAATACAAAATGTCTGAATAAGAGGAAAAAAAAGGCACACGGCCTTTACAACTTCTAGAATATAACTCTCAAATGTCTGAACAAAAGTCTACAGTGGAGCTCAAAAGAAAAATATAACTATAGTAGACAGCCGAAGCTAAAGTGCATCGTCATCAACCTGCGACTCTCCAGGTACCTGGCTCGTTACCTGAAAGGGGGAGGGACAACGAGCGTCAAAGCGCTAGCGAGCAACATCACAACCAACCCCAAGGGGTAGGGCTCGTTGTATACAGAAAATACAATTAATACATATATATTCATAAAATCACTGATCCTATTTAGGAAATTACAATACGAGCTTAGGTACGTCGAGCAAAATAATCCAAACAAGAAAACCCTCATGTATATACCTTATGGATCAAATTGTAAATCCCTAATAATAAGAGAGTTTTAGTACTTAGGAAATTATAACACGAGCATAGGTACATCGAGCGAAATAATCCAAACAATAAAATCCTCATGTATATACCTTGTATCTCAAATTGTAAATCCCTAAATACCAAACCCAAAATCTAATACAGGAACAATAATAAAAGAAGACAAACTCATCTCAGAACTTAAATACGATGTCATGCCATAACTCATATAAGTGGCATGTCCAGCCTATGCAAGTATCAGTGTCAATCTCAAGATCTAAACTGATGTTCAACACATGGACTAAAACTAGATGTAGTGGATGTCCAACACATGGACTGAGAAATAAATGTCCAACACATGGACTGAATGTGATAAATGCCCAATACATGGACTACACATAATAATTGTCCAACATATGGACTAAATGAAATATATGAAAAGATGCATATACACTAATCTCACACATGTCTCGGTGTGTAACTTAAACTTGTGTCCGCATGACATCTCATGTGTAGAGATGCGAATAAAATCTAAAATGTCTAATATCAGATATTCGAGGTGACTCATCGTTCACATATGAGCATGCAATAACAGCAAACATTCCCAAACAGATCCAAACTGAGGAAAAACTAGAAATTTCCTCATCAGTCGACTCATGAGTCGACTAGAATCATTGGTTGACTTATTGATCGACCAGACAAAACAGAAAGCAAAAAAGAAGGCTGGAAATTTCCCGTCATTCGACTCATTGGTCGACCCATCAGTCGACACATAAGTCGACTGATTGGTCGACTGAGCAGAAAATTCTTAGTTTCTACATACTTGATTATCCGCAAAAAAATTCAACCTAAAGATCCTCTTCATCAGTTCCAGCAATATAAAAACGATTCTTACACATATGTATTAAACTGAAACGAAAGATTTGCATGATTTTCTTACACTAAAACCCTAAACATATTTATACATGTTTAAAACATGTTGAAATCAATAAATCACAAAGAAAACTATATTTAAATCTAATTCCAGATCTGGATCTAAATTACAAAACGTTAGTGAGCTTTTATTAACTGAAACTTTTGATTTCTCGCATCATATGCCATAGAGATATATTTTTATACACAAAATAATGATTTAGGCTCAATAAATCCAAATGAAACTCAATAAAATCATATAAACAGTGGGTATAGGGCTGGGCGAGATGTTACTCGCCTCTGGTATGCTGAAAAACTCCTGAATCCGAAAGAGAATGATCTCCTGCGCTGCACCACGCCAAAAACCCGCTGCAAATCCTCCAAAAAGTCCCCATATATCACCAAACACGAAGCTAGGGTTTAAGGGGAGAGAGGGGGCTAGGGTTTCTAAGATCTGAAGGTGTTTTCGGGTAGGAGATATATTATATGAGCAGTCAAACCCGAAACAAAATCGAACAGACCCGCAAACTAAAAGAAAAACCTGAAATCAGCCCGTCAGTTAACTCATAGGTCGACTCATCAGTCGACTCATTAGTCGACTGATAAGTCAACTAGGCAGATAAAAATCCAGTTTCGTGTATGTTTTGCTAATTTGCAAAAACCAATGTACAAAACTCTATAAAAATACACTCATACATATCTGATAACTTGTTATCAAGTATATCTATGACCTCAAGTCATCTACCACAATAGAATTATCTATCACCAATAATTCACATATACTTCTAATAAAAATACGGGGTTTTACAGTTTGAGTTTGTGTCATTATTTTGCATTGTTTGGTCTTTTCTCGACGTTTGTTTGATTTGGTCTCTTGAAGAACATCGGTTTGATTTTAGCTTCCATCGCGCACAACAAGTGGTATTAGAGCCCAACAACTACAAGTGGTATCAGAGCGCAATAATATGGTGCATCAAAACCCTCATACAACGCCCTTATAATTCCTTTCATCCTGTCTAAGATAAAAGTAATTATACTTAGCGTACGGATACTTGGAATTTACTTGTATATAAGTTTAAAGAACCACTTCCAACTAGAAGTATCCTCTACCTCCATGACTACAAATGCTAAAGAAAATAAACCGCCATTTGCGTCTACACTAATCCCTACAAGAAGCACGCCTTTGTACTTGCCATATAAATGTGTGACATCAATGCTCAATACCGGATAAAAAAAGTGAACTCTTTAATAGTATGACCAAATGCCCAAAATTCTCGAGTAAACCTCTCCATCCCTGGTGCGATCTCTTCGAACATTATTTCATATTCAGTATCATGATTATTTTGCTTGATAGCTTCAAGATATTGTGGAAGTAATTCGTAAGATTTCTCCCAATCTCTAAATATTTTAAACAACGCTTTCCTCATTGCATCATATGCCTTATAATGCACCGCGTGTCATATACCCTTTGAAATATTTGACCTACATTTAGATCAAGTTCAGCCCTCACTTTAGGCATAGTTAGCTTACATATATAATAGGAAGATGCAGAGTAATGATCGACATCCACCAAGGGATTGCAACATGTTTGAAGTCCGTAATTTCTAGATATTACAAATTGTCCATTTGATGATTTTCTCACAATTGCATTTAGCAACCAAGAACATTTTGTGTTTCTCTCATCCTGCTCACTTGCATGCTCTACTTCTATCTTCTTATTAAAGTAACATTTTACTTAGTAGTTTCTTACATTAGTTTTTACCGGATTGAATTTGACCTGATTCTTGATGGACCATTCTCGGATTGCAACGATCGATGCCTCCTTGTTCTCAAAAAAAATCCCTTTTTTTAAAAGTAAAGTCCTAAGGCCGTTGAAAATTAGGACCAATATCAACAAATTCAGCTTGAGAGGTATTTATCCAATCCTCATTATGAAACTCATCGGGCAATGGATCTTCAGCTTCCACATATTTATTGTTAACATAAAATTGATTCATCCAATGGGAGTCATCATCGATTCCAGCAACCACATGCATGCTATCAATTTGCATGTCATCTTCTTCAATATCTTCTAAGTCATCATTTGCTTCTTCTTCTACAATTGATCCGGCTGATAAGTCACCTGTAACGTGGTCTGAAGCGTTGTTAAATATAGTATTTGGCGTCCTACCAAGAGAATGCCCGTTTAAATGCTATAGTTGAGACCACGGCTCTTGACTTGGACATGTCATAAACTCGATTCATTGTCTAAGTCAAGCATGCGGGAGAACTGTCCTTAAGGTCACGAAACTTGGGAAAATTCGAGAATCGAATACTTCTCAATGAACAACTCAATTGGCACTTGTTTCTCGACTAATAGTTTCATGTCATTCAACTCCTCACCGTCGGTGATCTCCACGATAACTGTTCTATTCTCGTTTATCGAACAGTTGTAGAATACCTTAGTTGCATATTCTTCTTTATTAATTTTAGTAATTCTGTATATTTCTTTCATCATTCCATCAAAATTACATGACCTTAGATAGCATAAACATTTTCCTAGAACCTCCATCATACATAGACATACTATTCACTCCGACGTCGAGGCTTCCATTGAAGAAGAAAATAATGGGTATAGAATTCGTCGTAACTGAAAATCAACAGTTCATCATATGTAAATAATCTATTATAACTGAAAATAATAATCTCAGTTGAAAATCAAATTTAAAACCCTAATCTCAATTGAAAAGTAAATAATGGTTAAACCCTAACTTCCAAATCACATTATTCATCATATTTCACAAAATAAAACCTAAAAATTTTCATATCCTAGATCATAAACCTTAATCAATCCATATCATTCATCAAAATTCTCACAAAAAATTACAATTCACACCATAAATTTCATATCCCAATTATAATTAAACCCTAAATAAAAAACCATATCATTCATATACAAATTAACCCTAGCCTAATACATCCATATCAATCATCAAATTCACAAGAAAATAGTGAAAATTTTCACCTTGATTGGAGTTTGATGTGGTCAGAGATGACTGTGGTCACGAGCATAGTCGAAGGTGCCTGTCTTCACTAGTGTGATCGGAGGCTGAGGTCGCGAGCGAGGTCGGAGGCTGGGGTTGCGAGCACAGTCAAAGGCTAGGGCGAGCGTGGTCGGTGGGGTCGTGAGATCTGTGGTGGTGGGGTCGTGAGATCTCAAGAACGGCCATGGACTAATTGAGGTAAGGAAAGACGGGAGGGGAGGGTCATGGGGGCTAAAGTACTTAAATATACCAAATAGACGGGACTACGAATCCCGTATAATTTGGCTGCTTGATTAAGCCTTTAAATTACACGGGACTAGTAGTCTCGTGTATCGCAGAAACTCCATTTCAGCAAAATCGACCGTTCTCTCACAACGAGCAGTCGATTTTGCTAATTTTTTCCTAATAGGGTCGTTTTTGCTGATTAAATTTTCAAAAAGGTTGTTTACAAAAATTTGTCCCAACATTTTATAGTGGTTCAGATAGAAATCTTACATCCACTCTTCTTTCTTACGAAGGGGTTTCCTCACTATAACTAGAGTTCACCTGAATCGCAACCCGATTCAGTAAGCTTACAAAGACTGCATCCTGAAATCTACCCGAAATCAGTCGTCTAACTTAACTCCTCACAGATGAGTAACACTTAGCCCTACCTAATCTCCACCATCAATTATCACCGACTTGAGTACGCCGTAAATCCTCAATTAACACTAGCTTGAGTACGCCGTAAACCCTTAATTCAACCAAGTTTGAGTACGCCATAAAAACAAGTTTGAACCAATGAAACAAACAACAATAAAGCCCAACTAGAAAGATCTTATAGCCCTTTTGATTAGCAAATTGTTCTCCTAATGATTGAAGTGTAGATTGGAAGAACGATAATGATGATGAAGTCCAAAGGAAACACTCCTTGAATGTTGACGATCAGATGATGAAGAATGACGTCGAGGATGCGGTTGATGAGGCTCTAAGGGATGAAAAGCTCTCATTATTCTCAAAACTCAAACCCTAGATCAGCTCCAATCAATGATCTCTTCTTTCTCTCTCTTTCTCTTATATAGAGCCCACAATGGATCAAGAAAGAGATATCCTAGACTTGGTAGAAGTTGGTAGAAGTTGATAGTGTGAAGGCTAAAATCAATATTCATGTTGATTTTTGCATCGTTTCGCCTCGTATCTCTCGTATACCTGTTTATACCTGAAATATATCATCTTTATACTTGAAATAAATCATCTCCAACTATCATCAGTAACAAATAAGAGTTTGTTATTACTCAAATAAGAGAAATTGTATGAAAAATGTTCTAACGCCAATAGTAACAATGATTTGAGGGACTAATTTCAAAACATAGAAGATGTAAAGGACCGATATTGTAAAAAAATGCTTCAGCATTTTGTTTTAAGATTAAGAAGTTTTGATTGTGCACTGAGCGTAGAAAATTTTCGTTTGCAGGAAATCTATTTTGCTTTGACTTTTGAAAACAAGGATTTAAAGCTGCGTTTGCAGTCTATGGAAGAAAATGCTAAACTGCAAGATGGTAATTTGTCTCCTTCTATGTCCTTAAACTTTTCCTTGATCAATTATAGGCTAAGTAGTTTTTATTATCTTAAACTTTGGGTATCTCTAAGCTTTTTCCTCCTGCAGTCGATACATGTTAAGCTTTTCTATTTATTAATTAATGTAACTCATTCTCTTACCCTTTGGTATATTCAAACCCTACCCGCTTTCAAAATCATTCAAACACCCAAAACACACAACTTGATTAATGTTTAAACCCATATTCAGTATCTAATCCCTTTGTTATAGCATTTTAAAAATTGTTACAGCGTTTATGTCGAACTATAGAAGTTTAGCATACTTTTATAAAAGTTAAACACACATCTTTGGTTTCAAAATAAGTCAAGAGTAAAATAATTGTTTTTAAAATGAAAAACTATATATTGAGTTTTTTTTTCTTTTTTTGGATAATGCATGGTTACTTTCCTTTATTATATAATTTGATCTTTTGCTGAAAATTAACTTTTTTCCCCTTCTTTCTGGGTGTAGATCTGACTAGTACTCTGGAAGCACAGGTGTTTGGACTGCGTGGGAACTCCTTGCTTTGATGTTTTATGTTCAACATATGTTGTTTGCTCAAGGATTTTTCTCAGACATTATTTTCTTCTGCTTCTTCTCTTCTATCGTTGAATCTTCTTCCCAATTGTGGGGAACTCGTGTTGTTATGTGAATGATCCAAAAAAAGCGTTGTTTTCGCCTTATTGAATAACAATATTGCAGAAACATAATCCTTTCGGTCTTAAAAATGTTTCATCCTCTGTTGTACAAATTCGTTTTGTTACCTACAAGCTGAGAATGTCTATGACTTTTCCCAGGGTGGTGGGAGAATTCATTCAGCAGTGGGATAACAATCTAACCATGGTCTTTGACTGTGTATAAATGTGCTCAAAAGAGCATGCGTGTTTCCATACGCATTTCCTCATTCTTATGAGATAGAGATCTTTTAGAGAACTCGAACGCGAAGCATAGCTGCTTTCATGGCTTGAGATGTACATCTTACAGAAACCGAGCATAAATCGTAGCTGGTGTTACAACCATCTCATATTATTTAAAAAAAAAGAAAGAAAGAAAGACATAGTAAGCATATAGCAAGCATTGTCGTCATGAACAACAAAGGACCAGAGAGGCTGAAAAATGAAAAACACGCAGCAACCTCATCAGAGTACTGGAAATAATTACTTGCTTCTTGTGAGCGACCCAGCATCTCACTTATAAACCCAGATAATTGGAACTATTTATTCATCAAGCAGTGGGGTGTAGATTGAATTAAAACAAGCTTATTTGCTCAATCATCATCAGATATTCGGTCCTCTAGTAAGTAGTAACAATAGCACAAATGGTAGAATATCAACAATATCATCCACTGTCAGAAAAGTGTTTCACAACTAACATCTTTTCACTAACACAAATACATCTGATGCGCTCACTACACCGAGCGCAACGTACATCTCCAAGACTAACGAAAACATTCATAATTTTCTTTACTCAACGATACTACAGAAGATGTGAATTAAGCAAGATACAGGTAGTTATATCAAAAAGCAAGCTGGTGATGATGGCAAAATCCTCGGGATTTAGCCCAAGCACCATTGAATATATTGTAGTAGAGTACAATCCAGATCCAACTAATCATCTTCTTCTCACAGCGGCAGCACTTGGTGCTCTCTGTGCAGCTCCTTGCGGCTGGCCATTAGACTGAGCATCAGCCTGTTCATCGGGAATATTCATCGCTTGAGTGACGGCGTTCATGACAATCATCCCAAGAGGTATTAAATACATCCACTGCAGGATAAATTAAAAGGTTTTAATAGTCATGATCCTAATGTGTGAAAAGATCAATATATTGTACACGAATGAATCAAGATTTCTTACATATTTGGCCCAAAATGATTTCTCAGGCGGTTTTACGCCTTCTCCCTCTCCAGTCTCTGCTTGAAGCAATTCTTCAGTAAACATTGGAGTTCTGCAGAATTGCCGACATAAGAGTTTGATTGACCAAACACATGGGGAAGATATAGGCTTCTACTTAAATACTTAGCAACTATGCATCTTATTAAAGTGGGGGAAATCAACTCTACATTCTTTTATTTAGAGTGAAAATTGACTCCAGATTTATAAACATAATTAGCTTGCAGCTCGGCTAGCAAATGCATCATGTTCCAAGATCAACTGAACTAAAGACAAAAAACTTAATGTTAATTCAGAAATGTTCATTCTTACCTCCGAGCTTGCTCGCTATTCTTTAGCACCGTATATGAATTGAAGGACCACTTGGTTGGCTGAAATCAAGATGAGGCACAAGGGGTTAGCGATTAGATATTCATCTTAATTAAAAAAACTAATTATGCTATATAGATCAGACAAATATTTTATCTAATTCTAGCCAAGTTTTGTATTTCCAATACATTTCATATTACCATTTTAAGTCATAAAATTTTCAATTGACCAACACGATTCATACAGGACCATAGCCAATTCTAGGTCTCAATGGAAGTTTCAATGGTTGAGGGGATAGTAATTGTGATAAACTTTACACATCAATTGAATGGTATTCTGGCCATTGATCTCCCAATTTTACTCTATCAAGCAGCATCTGTAATAAAAAATCAGCTGTCCTCTACAAAGAATCATAACGTGGAAAGAAAAACATGGGCTCTTTTCTTGTGTGTGCGCGTGCGCACATGCGTGTTGGTTGGTTTCTGGATTGAGGGTTCTGAACCAACATGGATGCAGCAGGAGAGGTTATTGATTGCAGAGATATTTGGTTTAGGCCTCAGCGCATAATATCTTTTGTTCCAGAGATAATTCTTGTTTACTTGGTAATGTTTTGAGGGCTGATATAGTAGAATCGGATGAACCATAAAAAAATAACAATATATCCCAGGAATTATGTCTTCAAAGATTGTGCAATTTTCTAGCAGACGCTCTAGCCAGTTGCTAGACACTGAGCCATTAAAAAGGAGATGAAATAGAAAGGGTAGCTGGGTGGCACCACAAGAAAGGAGGAACCATGGTTTTTATTTGAAAAATACAAAAAAGCTAGCTTTCAGTGCTGACACAAGTATATAAGTGGCAATTTCAATCCAAGCCACAAACCCAACAGAAGTGAAGTTACTGGGTTCAGATGGGCATGGATCAAAAATTCACAATTGGTTAGACCTATTAACCCAATTAGCAAATGGGTGGTTTTTGGGCTGAGCTTTTTTACCTGATTGATCGGGATCAGCCCATATAAGATTTTAAAATCGATTCTAAAAATTGAATCACCATGAAGATCAAAATTCAAGCTCAAGCTCCTTTAGGCCAATAATTGAAGTGCGCACATGAACTGTTTGTTAGCTACATATTTGTTTTGTCCATGTATGAATCATTTACTGTTACAGGAAGCATCCCATGCTTAACACATCGATAATCCAAAACCTTACACTTCCAAACTTCTTCCTTGTCCCGTGTACTCACTAATCTTCTCATTCTTTATCTCCCTTATCAAGGTCTCCGACACTGACTGATCCCTTCCTTCTCTACCCCATGGATCAAAATTTCTCTTTTTCCTCCCATTATATCTAATCTAAGATGATTCCTTTTTTATCCAAATCGGCTAATGAGTTTTCTCTGCAAGAATCAAGATCTCTCAATGATGTCAGTGTGTTTCAAACATGAACCATATCATAACAAGATAGCCAAATTGAGGCAGTGAGACACTGTTCATAATGCCGCAAAGATTCCAAGAATTCTGCGGTAGCAGTGGTTGAGGTGCAGGGAGGCGGACACAAATCGAGCCTAGGCAAACCTGTATCGAGCCAAGTGTTCAGCAACCTTACATGATGGGACTCATTTGACAATAGCAGAATCCCCCTTTTGTTTCTCTTGGCACTTCCCTTTATACTTGAAACCTAAAATGTCCTTTCCAAATGCAAGGTCAAAAAAGGGATGCATCAAATCAATGGGCTACGACTCGCCAAATTAACCCTAGATATGTTATACATGCAAATTTAACTAGTTAGACTATTTTAATTAGTTTCTTCTTCATTGGTTGTGAGTCCCTTTTGTTTTGATTCAGTTTCTTTTTTCTGATTAGCAGTCTCTGAGATGCGGGTGCTGAGATTATATTTACACGACTTGTAAGTTGTTTTAATCAGATAGTTATCTTGGTTCCTTAAGATGAACTTACGGCAGAATCCTGATTGGCTGAAATATGTAAAGCAAGTAAATAAGAAGAGAGCTGTAGCTGATTACAGGATACTGAAAGATCCACGTGATGGACACAGAGTATGAAGTGGAGGGAGTTTCAACCATTATTTCTAGTGACCACAGGAAAGGTGACCACAACTTGCAAAATGTTCACAGCCACAAGTTATGAAAGGATCACAATAACAACTTACAAGTTTTAGTATTCGTGGATATTGGCATGCTCCAGCAGAACCATAGTTCACAGCCAAAATGTTAACTCCATCCTTCGAAGGAAAAAAAATCCAGTAAGTAAAGTCCAAAAGACTGCAAAACATATTTACAATGTTACAATACATGGGCTACAGATATATTGTCCACTAAGTAAAGTTCAACAGACCACAAAACATATTTACAAGAACACAATACGTGTGCTAAAGAAGTATTACATAATGACAAAGAGAGAAAATTTTAAATCTACTAGTTAGAATAGATGGCATTGCAACTCGAAGTGAAATATCAGCCACTAGATAATAGACATTTCTAAGGGTATTATTACTCAGTGTACAAGCATGTCTGACAATGATAACTAACAAGATGCTCGAATATATCAAGCGGACAAAAGCAGCAGACATCCAAATATCCGATAATTAAAAAGAAATAGGTTCAGAGGGTCAGTACGATTACACTCACTAAAACAGTAATATTACTACTGCCATATATATATGCTTGCAAAGAGGGAAATAGCAGTGCCTATAGATGAAATAGATGGCTTACTGAAAGGATTATCAAATGACAAAATCAGTCACTAATAACAAAATGCAACTGTGCCAGTTGCCAAAAGCTTCAACAAGGAAGATGGTGAACCCAACTTGGTGAAAGCAGGAGTATATCAGAGTCTAGTTAATGACATTGATCGGCTAAATTTATAATATAAATCAACATTAGAGATAATATTTTTTCCTTTTACAAAGAATATTCACAGCTTTTGGCCCATCATTCCATTTTAATATCATCTGCTTAAGTAGAATACAAGATCCAAATGTTGTCACAACAAAATGGGATCTCATTCAGAATATAATCAAGGTAGAATTAGATTGTTTACAAATCAACAAAATTTTAACTGAGACATTCTAGTTCAGACATATACAGATAAGAAAAATGAGATTTGACAGGTCCCAAATTCCCAGAATAGAACAGACGAAGTTGCTACTAATGTGGATTGCCCATCAAGTTAGGACAGTTCTAGAATTTTTCAGGACATATTCCTACAGAAACCATAAAAGAGGGATGAATTATTTTACATGGTTTTCATTCTGAAATATAGCTGACTTGTTGAAATAAAGAATAAGTATGTCATAATGCCATCAAGTTCTTCCTTAATCATTCTTTTTTGCCCTCTCTCCACTTCTATAACTTGAAGTCACAGATCCGGTAAGAAAAACATTCACATGCAAAGGAGACACTGCAGGTTAATATTTTAAAAAAACTTCATGTGAAAGTTCCAGTCTACTGTATAGGGTTAAAATGTTCATGTCACCAGAAGTACTTAAAGAGAGCAATCATTTGTTGACCTTATCTTTCATCTCCAGTCAGTTTAAGTTTATAGGAGAAAATCATAATGTCCCTTTTAAGTCAGCTTCTTCTTATCTCTCTTATGCATTAACACATCTATTTCACACTTATGTTCGCATCTGCCTCTGCTTCTCACGTGTCAACTGCACTGTGTTCCCTCACATGCCATTATGTTTGTTGACCCGCATGTTATTTTTGAACTACTTGTTCTTGTCTCTTCTCACATGTTTAGCCAACATGTTAACGATACTTCAAGTCTATACTAAAAATGGCCGGCAATCTTGGTCGACTATAGGCACGGAAACTCCCGATGCTGCAAGATTTGTGAATCCAAACTTAAGCATCATGAGAAAATTGGTTCTTTACTCTTATGGAATGCCTACACAAGTATCTTCAGGGTCAACATACGTTAACTTCCACTGGGATGAGAAATTTCTAAGTGATGAATTTTAAGGAAACATCATGAGATTAATGTAAATATAGTAGGATGACGAGGAATAGGAGTAAAAAGTTACCACAAAAATCTAATAAGAAATTCTGGACACAAATGCATGTATTTGACATATTAGAGATTACCGTATGAATAACAAATTGTTCATCCAAGCTGTCCCTGGGGAGACATCTCTGAGATAAACAGCAAACACGGGTCAGAAACGTATAACGCAGTATTGAAATGCATGCTGGAAATTGGAAATTGTAGCTTTAACATAAATATTGAATATTAAAAATGAAAAGCAAAAGTGTGTTTTTTCACTAAATATAAAACTAATATGTACAATGGTGTTTCTTGTTTTCATACTGCTAAGATAAAATCTGACTTCCTTATTCATTTGTTCTTTTTCATTTCTTTATTAGAAAGGTGGTAACGTATCCTGTCTGCCTTTTAGGGAGAGAGAGTCCTCTCTTTTGCACCCCTTGCGCCTCAAATCTGTTACATGTAATATTTTGCTTCCCTGACATTATCTTCTCCAATCAAACCATTGGTTGATAAAATCTGAGACACAAACTGAAATACTTCTGCAGGCTCCAACAGTACTTCTGCAGGCTCCAACAAACAACAGCACATTATAAAAAAATTTGTTGACTTTAATTTTAGAGTATGGGTAGATGCAATTCAACTAGAGCATCATGAACAAGGATGCACATGGAAGAACGATGGCATGACATGTTAGGGTTGATCAAAGAAACATGACTATGGGAAATGAACATTTAATTGTTCCCTCCATAAATTCCACAAGACAACAATTACAACAACAAAGCCTTTATCTAAACATTTGGTGCCAAAGTCAGGAATCCTTTCCTTCATAAAGCTCTACTCTTGCACCTTGTTAGTTACATTTCAACAGCTGCAAAATCTGAACTTACACTTCCCAAGTTTCATCCTAATCTAAAAACTATAAGGATATTTCATAATCCTAGTTTCCCATTAAAAATAACCCTATAATCGGTGTATCCCATTATTATTTTTTGCACATGTCCAAACAAAACCTCAATTCCTGATTCACTTTCCTTCTTATGCCCAACTTAAACAAGTTACAAATTGCTCACGAACACTCCTGTTTTCTTATAAAATATCCACAATAAGTCATTTCCACTGCCCTCATTGTTTAGGCATGTTCTTGATTATCCAACATTTTGACTCGTAGTTAGTAAACCATGACCTGTTTTATAGCTGCTTCCTAAAATTTTCATTCAAGTTCATTCATTGGATTGTTGAATAAATGTAATGTCCAATAATAAAAAACTGAAACATCCATTATCTATTTTCCAGTGATTTGTATACAATGAGATGCATAAGGGCATGCAAGTTAGGATCATTAGTAATATATTTAGAGTTTTGATAACTCCAAAGCAAGAGTTGAAGAGAGAAAACAAATGGGAATGAAGTGTGCCGCATCTTGTCAAGCATACTTCATTTTCTAGGTGACAACAACAGAACATTTGTTACACGTTATGTTGTTCGATGTATAACCTCCCTCCCTCAATGCAGGAGGCAACGGGCACGGAATTGGACCCCTGTGCCTTGTGGTATGGTGAGTCGAAGTGCAGGCCAACAAAGATATAAAAAAAAATCAACAAAGAAGAGAACAACTTCCTCACGATATGATTAATCCCACATCTAGCTTTCTTCACACATGCATCCCAACCTTGATTGAAAGGAGTAGGAAACTAAAGGAAAACAGAATAATAGAGATCTTGAATCATGTGCTTCAGGTTTCTAGATGAGATATATTCTATATGTTTCCTTTTCAAATGCTTATCTTCCCATCTGAAGCATAGAAAGGAAAACAAACACCGACACATAGTGGACACGAAAGAAGTGAGATAGAATAGTGTGTTCAAAGATCAAGTAGACAAGGATGTTGAAGTGAGGTAAAACAGTGTGTTCAAAGGAGTCGAATATGAAAAGCTACAAAGTTTATACCTTCTATTGACAGTCAGTTCTTCCTATACCAATGCCTACCATAGCCTTGATAAACACTATGTTGTTTCACTGTATAATGACTGTAAAGCTACAAATACAAAAGAAGTGAATATAAAAAGCTACAAAATTTTATGCCTTATATTTGCAATTAGTTCTTTCATTCTTTGTATATCAAGGCCTACCTCGCCCTCACCCATGTCAAGTGCATTAGTCATTGACCCTTTTCAATATGAATGATAACAAACCAGATTGCAACTTGCATAACAAAGACGGATTTAAGGCTCATGAGCAAGAGAAATCAAAGATACTAAAATACAACATCAACTTACAGCTCTAACAGATGAAACAACATATTCTTTTCCAGGAGGATTCAAAACATTAGCTGGCACTCTAATCGTATAGAAACCATCCTCCTTCAACAGCCTCTGCAGTCAACCCAAACCCATCAAAATCAAAACTTCTTAACTCACAACAAAACATAGACACCAAAAGAAACGACCAAACAAACCTCAAAAGCTTCCTTCTCCGCCCCAGTCAGTGCATTCCTCGAAAACCTCAGCTTAGTGAGAGTCTACACTCAAAAAAACAAAACAAAACCAAACCTCACTTTACAAGTTTCTTTAGGTAATATTTCTCTATGACTCGTGGTGTCAAAAAGGCATAAAACACATTAAGAGCAAGAATAACATGAAAAAAAAATTATTTTTAATTAACATGTTTTAGAAAAAATGTTGCACATCAGACAGTCTAAAATCCAAATTTGAACTGGAAAATATTGATTTGAATCCTCAAGTGGTTTGAATGCTCAATTTGATCTTACAAATTAATAAAGAATCTGTAGGTAGATTTTATAAGATTTAACCTCAGCTCGCTAAGAATCTACTACAGTAAAAACACAAAATGACTCAATTTATTCGGAGGAAAAAAAATCAAGAAGTTGGTTAGCTCGTGGAGATCATAACCTGGCCGCCATGGCTCCAGGACTTGAGGCGAGCAGTAAAGGTTCCAGCGGGAGAGAATCCATCACCATCGCCAGCAAGCGAGTGCTCGAGGCTGAACTGGATCGACTTCGATTCAGAGGAGAAGGATGAGGAAGACGATTCGAGATCGGGCTTGCGACGGATTGGGGGAGAGAGGCTAGGGTTAGGGTTAGGGTTAGGGTTTAGGGAGTCGAGATCGGGATGAGATCGCTGTACGCCTTCGAACTCGTCGTCGTTTTGGATGAGCTCGTCGGATTCGAAGGCGGCGGAGGGGGAGGAGAGGAGGTAAGTGAAAAGGAGGAGGGAGAGAGGAGATGACTGCTCGTTGTAGCGAATGGGTTATTCATTTGGGGTGCGGGGGTATTTTGGTGCAAATTGGGTTAATTGCCCTAATGGGGTAAATTTACCAATTTAGATAATTTGAGTGGGATAAAATGAGGTAAAATGGGATAATGAGACAATTTGAGTAGGACAATTGGTATGACATCTACATCATATACAAAAATATACAACAATAAGAATGCACATCCACAGCAAATTGTTCCTAGGATTATCAAGCTCGAAAGAATGTCAAGTTCCTCCATGTATTCTTCTAATGATGATTGGAGGCGGCGGCGGCGGGGGAGGAGAGGAGGTAAGTGAAAAGGAGGAGAGAGAGGAGGAGGGGTTTTCGGAGAGAGATCATCGCCATCTTGGTTTATGAGAGAGAGAGAGAGAGAGAGAGGAGATGGCTGCTGGTTGTAGCGGATGCGGTTTGAACTGAATCCGAAGCCCGAGCAAACAACTGTATCCGAGATTGGTGAAATTTCAAAATGCACCCGAAAATTGATACGTCACATAAAAGCTCACAAGTGTCATATCATAAGATTGATACGTAAACCCTCAATCTTATATTTACCTACAAATTCTCATCAAATTAAAACTTATCAATCACCAAAAAATCTCGTAATTATATATTTTAAATATAGATATTAGAAAATTATGTAAAACAACTCTCTACATATAATTATGGATTAATTTTAGAAAACATCCTCAACTATTTTATTTGAGAAACCCCCCCTCAAGTTTGAGTATATTGTAGATACCCCCCAATAACTACGGAAAATATAATATAATGTCTTAAAATTTTCTCACTTAACAGTCTTAACCACTCTGAAATAAGGGGTGTGCCTCAAAAAATCCCCCACAACTATTTTGGTTTGAGAAACTTCCTCAAGTTTGGGCATATTATAAATAACCCCTCAAGTTCGAAAATTCAAGAAATTGTCATGAACTTTTCTCTCCCTTTAAACATAAAAAATTACTCTAATTTTTTAGGATAAGAGAACGAGAAGAGAAAGAGGGGGAAAATATCATAAATTGAAAATAGTTGTTTTTATCAATTGAGGTTTTTTGTAATTAAATGTGTTGATTTCTAAAAAAATATTTAGTTATTTTATATTTTAAAGTGATTTCGGAGGGTTTAGTGAGAAATGTGTGAAAGATTAGGGGGGTTTTTAACAGACTATGTAATTGGAGATTTTCTCTAATTTTAAAAGTTGAGTGGGTTTATATATAATATGCCCAAACTTTAGTGAATTTTTCTCAATTAAAATGTTGAGAGGGATTTTCTAAGATATCTGCTTTATTTTCGAGATCCAAAATTATGCATGTGTCAAAATAATATTTAAACCTGATGAATTAGTCTTCCTCTTAAAATATTATTAGTGAATTTATCATTTTTTTTGTTATTTATTGATTTCATATCATGTTTATACTAATTTTTATAAAAAGGGGTTATTGGTTCACTCGTACCTCTCTTTAAAATATTAATAGAATACAATACACTATAAAAAACATATAACATATAAATATCTATAAAAAAAATTTCCATTGCAAAAAAATATTCTCATCAATCCAAAAAATAATTAAATTATTTACACAAATTACCCAATATATTATCTTCATTTCTCCTTGCTTCATGTATTTTTTTCTAATAAGTAGATTAAAATTATAATGAGTTCTTAAGATTATTTTAGAAATAAATATTTTAATTCTTAAGATATTTTATGGATATTTTAAAATCATATATACTTTTTTAATTAAGTTAAAATTCTAACGTAAGCATCACAATATTGAGATTTAAGTATGAGATTATTATGTTTAAATTAATATGTGAAAAGCCTTATATCTCACGTAAGCGATGTTGTATTGGATTGTGTCATATTGCAAGGTTTAACTCGATGTGCTCTTTAGTTCATACCAAATCACAAAAGTTTTTATAATAAAATGTCAACGTAAGATGACCTCGCTAGCTACCACAATTTTTACAGTTCCTACATCAAAGAGATATTTCTTGTGTTGTGATCATATATGGAGTGCCGACTTTTGTTATATCCATTTTTATTTTATAAATTCTATAAGAAAGGAGAAATATTACGAAGAAAATACTGATGGTAAAACTGTCTAATTTGAATTTTGAAATTTTGAAATTTTGAACTAAAAAATTTACCATTCGCTCATTCGACAAGTCAACTTTTTCTTTTTCTCTTTTCCTCTTAGAATATTGTATATTATATATCATGTAAATAACGGGGAATATTGTAAAGGAGAGGCTGGTGGTTAAACTATCTAACTCTGAACTTTATATTTTGAGACAAAAGGCATCCTCCATCTTATTTTGAATTTCTTTTAAATTTCAAACCATTTGAAGAAAAAGCTCCAATTCAGATTATCTAATCTTCTATAATTCATATGCTATAAACCATTAATATAATTTGTTTGTGTGCTCATATCCATAAAAAAATTAGCACATATAAAAAAAATAAGAAAATTATGTTCAATTTAATTTAGAAGCACATGTATATAATTGAAGAAGAGACCTTTAGAGACTAAAATCGGATTTAAAAAAAGATTCATACCCTTCAAAGTTAATGATGTGAATTCAGTTCCCACTACCCACTCCATATTATTTATTCTACATGTAAGACTCATCTGTGTGAGCACGAGCCAAACTAGTTGTGGGATAATATGGATTAATTGGCTAGTTTTTTTTAAAAAGAAACCCTATTAAAAAGAGTTTTTACTTTTTAGGACATGTATACAAAAACCGCTTTTTATTTTCCAATTTATTCATAAATCACATTTGAAGTAAGTTTTTGTTGCAATCAACCATCTTTTAGTCCAATTTTCACTAAAATCCCAAAATTACCCTTGAAAAACTCACATGTATGTGACTCATTTTTTTAGTGTTTAGGTATTTGTGAGAATATAGCACACATAGCTTGAACTTGAACTTAAAAACTTATTTTCTGTTTTTTGTGAAAATTTGACTAGAAGGTAGTTGGCTGCAATAAAAACTCACTTTAAAGGTTTTAAATGTGGTCTATATATAAATTAAAAATGAAAGGGTATTTTCATATAATTATCCTATTTATAAGGTGGTTTTTAGGAAAAAGGCATGTTGGCTTATTTTGAACTTTTAACATTTCAAAGTTTATTTTTGCCTATTTCATATGCTAAAGTTTCACCCATCCTGAACTTTGGTGTTTTAAAATTTACTTTTGCTCATTTGGTATCTCACTATTTCAAACCGTTGAACTTTCATACCTTCAATTTGAAGTACTTTTTATTTTTTTCCGTAAAACTTAGACAATTGAGTTTAATATGCGACCTGATTTAGACTTTTACATATATGTGGACCTGTGGCTTTTGTAGACGACAATTCTAATTCGACCGCATGAAGTGAGTCTACGCTTCGACCGCATGAAGTGAGTATACGCTCGAAAAGTTATGTTTACAGAATACTTCCATGTATTTCTAATTTTTATCTTACCTGTTTCTCATAGTTTCCCATTACACTTTTCCACAACTAAATCAAATGGGTGTGTTTGGCATCTCCGGAAAACTTACTTTAGTTTGCACAATCTTTGTTCAAAACTTTATTTCGGTTTGACTCGAAGCGGTTGATTAGATAGAATAGCAAATATAAAGATGCAGAGGGTGACATTTGCAAATGCAATTGTCGGGTGCAAATAGGTAAAAAAACCCGTCATCTATACCCAGCACAGAATAAATAAAGTTTAGGGGATAAATATGCAAATCAACCTACAAAGTGTCTCTTCAGTATCGCTCGCAACATCGAGAAATTCTCGATACCTCCTCTCAATTCACAGCCCCGATCCTCATCGTCCTCCTCCAAAAACCGCTGTCTGCTCGCCTCTAGCCGTCAAAACCCTAACCCTAGAAATGGACGCCATTAGAAAGCAGCTCGATGCTCTCATGGGAGCCAACCGCAACGGCGACGTGACGGAGGTTAACCGCAAGTACTACGACCGTGACGTCTGCCGTCTGTTCTTGGCCGGGCTTTGCCCCCACGATCTCTTCCAGCTAACGGTCACGATCTTTAAACCCTAGCTGTTGTCTTTTTACTGTAAACCCTAGTTTCTTTTTTTTGAGAGAATTGCTGATGCTGTTGTTTTGTTTTTTGTTGTCATTAGAAAATGGATCTTGGTCCTTGCTCAAAGGTGCACTCTTTGCAGCTGAGAAAGGAGTATCCTTTATTTTTATTACGAGAAATTGGCATTTTTTGCTGTAGTGATTTCTAGATGTGTACAGCTAGTTATGGAAAAATATGTATCTAGATGATTTTTCTGCTGTTTGATGAGAATTTTTGTAAAAATTCATGTTTTTTTGTCTGTTAAATTGTTTATTGATTATTATACTATATAGGATGAAATAAGAAAGGAAGATTTATTAGGGTGGAGTTGAAAATTTTAACTAGGGAAGGCACAATTAGAAAGGAAAGGTAGGGAATGGAAGTGAAAAGATAAAATGTTGTTTGGGAGTTTTACCTTGTTGGGGAGTTCTAATAAAGAGGAGGGAAGTGAAATGAATATGTATAAAGTTACATAAATACCCTTACATATTGGATGTGAGTATATCTTAGCCATTGATTTTAATGTCATAAGGGTAAAATTGTCTTATCATATTGTAAAATTTTACATTGGTTTCCATTCCATCATCTACCCCCCAAATTGGAGGGGAGGAAAATAGAAGGAAATTTAACCTTCCATTGCATCCTCTAACCCCTCAGAAAAACTCCCAAACAAGGTGAAATTGAAATTTCACTTTAACTTCCATCCAAGCAAGGTGTAATAGTAAAAGGTTTTTCGATGTAAATATTACTAAAGTGCACCACTTAGGAGAAGTGATGAGGCATAAGAGAACTTGGACGGAGGCTGTAGAGAAGCATATGGTAAAGGAGATAACCCTCTACGAAGCTTGATGGCAGAGTGGGGTCCATGTAGCCGACTCCAAAAATCTGAGATAAGGCTTTCTACTTGTTGTTATTAAAGCATTACTTAGAAGAGTGATTACAGTTTTTTACTAAAAATAAATTACAGTTAAACCCACCTTATTTTTAAGAATTCATCATCTTTTCCACCTCCTAAAAATAGTGCGGAGCGCCGGAGTCCACAATCTCAATGTCAACCATGTATTAGTGAGTGAATTTTGTAACTTGTCTTAAGTGAAAAGTGGAAGCGGGTGCAAATCAAGGACAATGTAGTAAACATCAAATTTGGAATGAATTGCAATGTCCTACTAAGTAATAGATGGTTGTGATTGAGGAAGTGGACTCTTTCACTGTTTTTTATAACCAATTTAGAAGCATTTGTCCTTGTTTCATATGTAAAATTACTGTAGACATTATCTTTCTAATAGTTGACAAATAAATGATGATCCAACTGAATAAACAGACCACTTATACCTTTGAACTCGGAATTTCCCAATTCAGATATCATTGAGATTGTTTTGTGCCTCACCCCCCAAAAAACCTTTTTTTTTCATATTTGATTTTTTAAGGAATTTGTTTTGAATTAAATAACGCGAGTGGCCTATATAGGAGATTAAAATTTGACCTTTCATTATTTATCTTTCAATGCACAACTTTCGGTTTGATATTATTTGGGCAAAGATAGATACAGCCCCGAGTAGATTAAATCACTTTTAAGTCCTGAGCTTATGCAAAGATTTTACATGCAATTGGTAACTAAGGCCTATATATTAATTAAAAAAGAATGTTATCTTCAGCTTGGGTTGTGCCCAAGCTGAGATCAATGTGGCTCCCCCTATGGAGATTGACTTGAGCACTATGCAATTATGCATGCCTTCTCTTACTGCTAGCACTTTATTTCGATTGTCTCCATTTTTTTTCCATTGCTTGTTTGGGCCATGGAGTGTGGTGAGAACTTATTGGAGGATTATTGAGCATATAATTTTTGTATTGATAGCACATAACTTTTGCAAATCTGTATCACACTATCTTTGATTAAATCACATGGAGAAGAATTGTCTAGGTCCATTGACTTATGCTTGTTATTATACATCAAGCTCTATTTGACATACCCACAAACGTAAACACGAGCTAGAATGTATGTGTTCAGTTCTTGATACTGCTTCATTGCAATTGATTAGGTAATTGGGAAGCATGTGTTTTTAGCTGTGTGTGGTGCATGGAATGATAGATGTTAAAGTAACTAACCTGCTTCACACCTGTACACTCACTGATCAGATGAAATTTGTGGATACATTCAGCCCAACCTATGAGGCCATGACTATGAAATTTGTTGAGATTTTGCTTACACAATATGGGGATAACTGGTGATTGCATTAGCAGGCCCATGAGTATCTTTCTTGTATGATTGAAACTTTTCCTTTTAGGTCCAAAGGTTATAATTGTCCCTTTCAGGCCTACTTGAATTTGGTCTTGACAGTCCATTTTAGTTACACTTTCTACATAATTTCTCCATTTGTTTTCGTGAAAGGTATCGTTGAAACCTTGCTGAACTAAAGTATAAGAAGGTGCTAGTTTCAGAATTGTGCCTGCATGCTCCCCTAATGATTCCTTATTGTGCAGTAACTATTTCTTTACTTTTGTGGAGCATGCTGTTCTTCCTGAACAGTTAATAGATATGAAGAATCCAAAGCAAAAGGTGTTCATAATTTTGACAGAGAATTAGAGGATGAGATTGAAAGACTGATTGGGGAGTGTGAAAGGAAAATTCAAAGAGCCGTTAAGCGTCTGGAGGAGGCAGATGCTAAGGCTGCTGTTGCGATATCTGTATCCGAAGTTACCCAGGTATTTGTGGTATTTTGTCACCCTTATGTATTATTATTTTGAGTTAAATTACTTACATTATTTTATGCTAACACTTTTCATTTTGAAAATACAGTCACCTGAAATCACAGAGTTATCGAAACAGATCAGGGAGAAATTGAGAGAAGTTGATGTATTTGGTATTTTCTTGGCCTCTAAATTTATATTTTTGTTCTCTCTGATGAATAAGTAGGGCAGTTTGTTGTTCACATGCAATATCTCATTACGTTATTGAGCGTTATGCACTTCATATTTTGTGCTTGGGGTAAAATCCTTCATGACCTCTTAGACTGTTCCAATTCTGAACAGCTATTTCTTTTACAGCCCCTTCCTCCCTCCCTTTTTGTGCCTGTTTTTGGTTGTCACTGCAATGTATTTTTGTAAAAAATACAACAGAGAGATCTTTTATTATTGTGATCAAGAATCAAGATGTCTTGAATGTTGAGGCAGCATGTCCTGTTCAAATGAGCAAAATATGCATCCTAAATCATCCTGGGCACATGAGCTCCTTTAATGTGGCAGGCAAATGGAAAACATTCATAAGTTCACATGTAAAGTCATAAATAAACTTCAGCATTCGTTTTACATAATTTATTTAAATCAAGGAGATTGTGGACATTATATCATAAGAAACCACTTTTATTCAACTAAGTAGCTCATGAAAATCATGAATACGCTATGCAAGTTTAATTTTTTTTTCCACGATCATATTTTGTCATAATCTGTGATGATTAACCCAACTAGTTACTCATAAATCCTGGTTTGCCGACCCTCTTAAGTCTTAAGGGTTTGTTTTTTTAGAACTATATTTTCTCCTGTGAAATGCATGGAACTTAGTATTATATTATTGTTGTAGCAATTATATGGTAATATTATGATTTGATAGTTGTATATTGCTTTCAGTCTAAAGGTTATACTGTAAATTAAAAACATTGTTAAAAATAATTGGAGAACTTTTTACTTTGGAACATAATGCAATTAATGAGAGAATCAGAAAGAAAAGGTAGATTGGGGAGCAAATCAATAAATAATTAATATGTATAGAAATTCAAAAGTCAATTGTTTATGCATGACTCTTCATATAAACGTCATTGTCATATTATTTTTTACTTATTTCAATTGGTAACAAAACAAAAAAAGGAAATCTCAGTAGCTGCCAATTGATACCCAGGGGGTTTCTCTTAGTATGTGGTATATGATGATGTTACCATGATTTATTGACCCAATCATTTCTGTGTTGCTAACAAGAAAATTTGTTTGCTTGGTTTGTCATCCTTCGAATGTATTTTACACCATGGTTCTCTACTTTTGAGCTTTCTCTTTTGTTTATTAGGCATGCCTATGTCATCTTCATTTCAACACACTCATTTCTAAACTCATTTTCATGAGTTTCTCTTCAACCTTTTTGACTTTGTGAAACTATTGCTTTATCTTGTCTACTTTCTAGCAATATTTGTATTGTGAAGTTGATTATATAATCTACCACCCTTTATGTCCACAAAAGGTAATGAATTCTTGCGATATGGAATAAGTTTAGTGCAAGGCTAAGCTGATCATTTGTTTGAGCCTGCTCGTTATGGGCCTTATTGCATGTGTCCCGACATTCTGTTGCAGCATCTTTGTGGTGAGTTCAACAATTTTTGACCTGAAAACTACTAAAGTTGACTATACCTCGACAAATAATTTTTTTCCCCCAGATTTGGAAGGGAAAACAGACAATAAAATTCGGGCCATTGAAGATCTAGAAGAGTTGAGGGCCAAAAGAGCTGATAAGCAGGTAATGCTTGACAATTACATGTTCCTCACTTGTGTGTTTTGACTGGTTAACTTGTACTGCTCTTGTTTAAGTGAGACAACTCTGTTTGCATCCTTGCTGCAGTCGATGCTTCTTCTTGATGCTTTTAACAAAGATAGAGCTTCTTTACCACAACTTCATAATCCTCAATTAGCACCTTTGCCAGCTCTTGTTCTTCCAGATCCTCGTACACAAGAAATGATTAATGAGAAGCTGAAGAAGGCAGAAGATCTTGGTATGTGCATCTAGATATTAAGTGATGCTCTGTACTTAAGTCTTTTTTGGTAACTATTGCTCTATTGGTTCAATAATTTCTTTGTATAGATTGGTGGTTGCTTGGTAAACCATGATTATTTGTCAGTTTGAGTCCTCACTTTGTTCTTCTTTTGAATTTATCTTATTTTCTTTTACCAAATCTGCACTGAATTTCAGAAAATTTATTGGAGTTGATATCTTGACTGTGTGTCAAGCTGCTAGTTATTTTAATGATATTGGTGTCAGCTTCTAGTTAGGTACAATAGGCCTCTACCCTGGAGTTACTTGAGCGTGAAGTAAATTCTCCTTGTATAGGTCATGAACTTAATTAACTACTAGTATGTTGGTTTAGGATTGTGGTTTCCTGGTATCAGCCTGGTTATTGATGTTCAAGACTTCACATCTGATTACCCCAGACATTTACATTGTGTATGAATAATATAGACTTTACAGAGTCATGTTTATTCTGCTTGTTACCCATAAATATAATGGTATATGCTTGGTATCCAGCAGAAGAGTATTTGAGCAAAAGATTTCTGTTGTTTCTTCTTAATGTTGCTTCTCGACTTCTAAAGGGATATTTTTCAACACAAAGCTTGTATGTTACCGTTCATTATACTTGCTATAATTCTGCATACACTTTCTGTTCTCTCTCAATGAGGCATTACTGTTGTTACTGATGGATTTATTTTTTTGAGCAGGTGAAAAAGGTATGATAGACGAGGCCCAAAAAGCTTTGGAAGAGGCCGAAGCTCTTAGAAAGGTTGTATTCCTTTTCAAGTTCTATGATTCGACTCATTGGGCTAACAGTTATGCTGTTAATATTTTGTTAAGGATTGAGCTCTAATATATCCAATGTTATCTGTAGTTACATTATAAATCCGTAGGACTTTTAAGATCCTTTACGTTGCTTGGGCATGACATTTTCTACAATTTCTATATGCAGTTAAGTGCACGACCTGAGCCAGTTCAAGACCCTTCAAAGTATACCGCTGCCGATGTGCGAATTGTAAGTTTAAAGTTGATCTAGTAGTTTATTATAGAGTTAGTCTCAAGCCAAATAACTTTCATTAGGAATTCAGAAAAGAAAGAAAACTTTGAAGCTTGCACTTTTATCGATGTTGGTATTTTGTGTATTGATCTCACTCTTCAACTAGTCCAAACATTTCCATTTTGTATTTAAATCAAGGTTGTGCCATATTTTCTTCATAGGCTCATTGTGATATATGTATAGCAAGGATATAATGCATTTGTTTAGGAGTGTCCTGCCCTATTAAACCACCCTTGCTCACTTATGTGGGCTTCACACCATGGAAAGTTAATATAATTAAGTATGCTTTCTTTGTATAGAATTAGTTGAAGGCAGAAATTGAAGGCTTGAGGAGACAAATAACAACTTTGTAGGAAACAAAAGCAAACTTACCAAAAATAGTGGTAAAGTAGTTTGTATATGCTTGTTCTCTAACATGTTTGCAGCAGGAGGAAAGAATGTTTAGGCAATATTTTCTTCTTTAGCTATAGGTAACAAGTGAATGTTTAGGCAATATTTTCTTCTTTAGCTATAGGTAACAAGTTGTGTGCAATAGGTTAAAATTGTAAGATTTCTGAGGGAACAGATTAGTACTTCTCATTTTCAGGATGTTTGTTTGCTAAGTTCATAGAGAAAATGACGGGGTTGTCTAATTGGTGGTTATATTAGTTGTATATTATTGGTGTCTTATAGCATTAATTCTTTTTTTCCAATTCATTTGCAGACTGATCAGAAATTACGGGTTTGTGACATATGTGGAGCATTCTTGAGTGTTTATGACAGGTAAAATAATTATACTTCCCATCCTATAGTTTTGGTTAAAGTACACGAGATTCCATGCGCAACAGAAAGACTAGTATTTGGGGTTTCAACTTCAGCTTTTGACTGGCTCATCATACCTCCTTGTCACCGGCAGGATTTTGGGCCCAGTTTTACGAGGAAAACTTTTGCAGCTAAAGAATGTGCGTGTTTTTTGTTTTTGTTTTATACTTGTGGATTAATTGCTAGAAGTTTTGGTGTCACAATGCATTAACTAATCCTTTAGGAGGTTTTAAGAACATATTATGTTTTTTTAAGTGAACAAGTTATTCTGATTGTTCTGTGGTATACAGTGATCGCCGTCTGGCAGACCATTTTGGAGGGAAGCTTCACTTGGGCTATATGCAAATTCGGGAGAAATTATCAGAAATGCAGGTAAAAGTTTGCAAGTTTCCCTTGGTACTCTGAAGTCTGTACATTGTTTCATGTGGTACTAACAAATACATATTTACAAGTTAGTGGCAATGTGTGTGCATGCACATTTTTGTTATCTCTTAAACCCTCCTACCCCACACTTTCCGTTTCGATAAAATGGTACATGGGCATGTTTGATATAGAAAATAAAATAGTTTGGTTATTCTTTATTATCAATTATTGTGCTTTAACTTTCTATGCAAGTAATTTCTTTGTTTAAACGTTTGTTCAGTGCTACATAGGCACACAGCCTTTAAAGAGTTTGCCATTGTTTTTGAAGTATTACTGTAATAATGGGGTTTTTAGAATATAATGTTAATAGTTTATGCTTTTGTCAGGAGGAGAGAATTAAAAGCCGCAAGAGAGAACGATCAATGGATGAAAGAAGGTACCCTCTTCAATCAGCCAGTTCAATTCATGTGTGCTGCCAGTTATCCCACCTTTAATCCTTTGCAAAACTTTCATAAACATGGAGTGTAAATATTCTGATGATATAGGTCAGTAGAGCGAAGTCAGAGCAGAGACAGAGCATCAAGTAGAGACCGATATAGAGGTAATAGTCGAGAAAGGGGAAGGGATTATGATCGCCATAGCAGAGATCATGATCGCTACAGTGATAGAGGCGGTGAAAAGGATAGAGATCGATCTCACAGTTACGATTCAAGGAGCCGGTATAGATCACGTTCTCGATCAAGGGACCGCACTAGAGATTATGATCGTCACAGGTAGTGTTGCAAATATATTTATATAGCAATATTTTAATTCATTTTGGCACTTAGCAAACTCTTTAAATGTTATGTTTAGGAATTCCATTGTCTACATTAGGTGGTTACTTTTTATGACATCGAACTTAAATCTAGAGACGGGTCTTGAGAAATGAGTCTGGTAACCAAATTTTGAATGGATATAAATATTTTCTGCGCTTTGTGAGTCTTGATCTTTGGATGCTAACATGCAATTAATTATGTCTTTTTTCTGGTTCACTTTTTATCTGATAATTTCAACTAATTCAAACATACTATGCAAATATAATGAATTCTTTCTTTCTTGTATTTACTAATCTGTCTTAACTGTGTGCCCAAATAATTCTTTATTTAGATTCCCACCACATAGTAGTTCTTTGTTGATCTATTGTATAGATTTGATGAATTTTACTGCTTATACTAAAACACAATATCATGCATAAATTTCTTCCTTGATTTCCAATGAATATCCAGCGTTGCCCATCATCACGTGTTCTCCATTTTTGTATTTCTAAGTGGATATGGTGCTGATGCTGGAGCAATGGAGCAGTCTTGTCATATAGCATGTCTCAGGAAATGGGTATGGCAAGTATAACAGGGTAGCTGTGTAACAACAAGAAAGAGCCTTTATCCCAATTTTTGGGGCTGGCCACATGAATCCTGCTCTTCCTAGTCTTCCAACCATTGTCATATCTTCTTAACATCTTCTAACCAAGTTGTTTTAAGCCGATCTTATTCCTTGCTACATTAGTTATCAGTGAAAAATGCCTTCACCAAAGATACCTCAATCCTGCTCTGCTCCTCTTTTCCAAGCTCCTTGTCTATGTCCTCTTGAGCTTCTTCTCTGTACCCTTCTTCCTTCTTCATCTCACACTCCTCCCCGCTCTTTCCTCCTCTACACCCCTCCTTCACGCTCCTTCCTTTCTCTGACTTGCACATCTCCTCCTCCTATGCCATTAGCATCTTGACGGAGAAGGAAAACAGTGAAAGAGGAACATGTGATAGGGGAGATGGGAGGAGAGGAGGAGAGGAGATTGGGAAAAGAGGAGAGAAAAGGTATGGTGGAAGTTGGAGACACAGGAAGTGGTGAAAGATGAGGGTGGAAGTTGGAGGATGAAGGAGAAAACCGCCATCGCGATATGTAGAAAAAATAACCAGTCACATTTTGTGGTTACGATTCATGTTTTGTGGTTACCTTTTAAGTTTTTTGGTTACTTAATACGTTTACTGGTTAACTTGTGCATTTTCTGGTTACTTTTTACTGATTAAGTTTTACATTTTCAACTTGTTTTTTACTAGCTGCCTTGTACATTATACCTGAACACTAAGAGTTTAGATGAAAGAATGAGTTTTTGTTACCTCATTTCATGCCCATTACAATGTTTGTTACCTATCTAGATTTGGTGTGCATCTTTATGTACTGTTTCTGCAATCTTAACTGTCTAGGCTTGTTGATCAGCTTCTGCCCTGTCTCCCACTGTTCCTCTCCTGCATCTTGTCTCCTGTGATCCTTTGTTATCTCGAAAATCTTAATCTCAGAGCAGACAAGTTTGTTTATCGATGTTATAGTAAACATAAGAGACTCCCAGTTGAAAATAAAAATATGGGCATAATGATCATGTTTTAGTTTAGTTTTATCAACATTTATCTCAACAAGATTCTAATTTTTTTCCCCCTTTCTTTTTATCTCACAGCAGACGTCGTGATCGGTATTAAACTCTGTCTGAGAGGAGGAGAAGCTTGAGGTTCTGGTTGGTCTTGAAATGCAATTATTATTATAGATCCCTTTGTTTATATCATCAGATCATTCATCTTATTGTTTTTGCAGGTTTTCTTGTGGATGTAGGGGGTCTTTCTAGATCTTCAGGTGCATATGAGATACTGTGTAGATGAATGTTGAGAATGATACCTGTGTAAACTTGGATGTCACTATTTATCAAGTCGGAGAGGTTTTTGCAAAACTAATATTGCATCCTACTGCAATTTGTATAAGGCTAGCAATTTGTATAGGGCTATTGTGCTGGTTAAAGTATTAGACTGGGAGGTGCATTTTGCGTTGGAAACAGTTAAATTTTGTTTAATATCAGATGAGGTTATGGTGTACTTCTAAGCCTCTAGTTTTTCAACTTAAAGCAATGCCTACATTAATTTGCCAGCCGACATTTCAGTTTGCCTTACTTCTGATTCTCTACTAAAGACTATTTCTTTGATCCGCATTGTGTTATGGTCTGGAGAAGGTGCTCGGCGTTGCTATCTACGATGGGTTATGTAATTATTACATGCAAGGTAATTATCATTAAAGAGAACATTCACAGCAGTAACGTGGCTGCTTGATGTTGAAAATCTTTTCACTTCATGAAAGTTTCTACACTTTTTGGATAGTGTTTGTGATGCCGTGTTGTCGTTTGGGATGTATTTGCACCTCAGATGATTTACTGGATATCTCACAACTTAATCATCCTCACTAAAGTTTCAACATAATTTGAAGATGAATTCTTCTTGTAGAATTGCTAGGAGTTGGTATACTGGAACTGTGACTGTTATAATTGATCAATATTTTTTTTAAAAAATGGATTGCACAAATGAATTTCAAGCCACAGCTCCTTGCAGAAACAGAACTAAAGAAAAAGAGAGTTCAGAATATGCAGCATTCCTATTTTGTTTCTTTTCTATGCTTTTAGCATAAGCGGAACCCTTTTGTGTTTGAGAGACAAGGTTACACTATAAATTGGTTGATTCCAGACGCTAAAAAGAAAATTATCACAATTTCAAAAAGATGAATACAAGTAAATACTTAATACAACTATTCCACTTATGAGTTTAATCAAGAATAAAGAATACCGCACACAATTCCGTTACAAAGTGTAAGTGGATACAGAAAAACCTCCCTTGTTATTGAAAACCTGAAGAAAGCGTGAGGATTTGATCCTATACTTGGCTCGTTCCACCTGAATGT